GGAGCCTGGTCTCCATCAGAGTGAGAGGGCTCTATCTCTCTGTGTGTGGGGAGCCTGGTCTCCATCAGAGTGAGAGGGCTCTATCTCTCTGTGTGGGGAGCCTGGTCTTCAGTAGAGTGAGGGGGTTCGATCTCTCTGTGTGTGGGGAGCCTGGTCTTCAGTAGAGTGAGGGGGTTCGATCTCTCTGTATGTGGGGAGCCTGGTCTTCAGTAGAGTGAGAGGGCTCTGTCTCTCTATGTGTGGAGAGAGCTCCATCTCTATCAGGAGATACTTCTTTACACCAAGTCTGGAATGAGCCTGGAACAAGCTGCCCAGCCATGTTGTTGAAGATGATGCCCTGATACCCTTTTCTTTCAGGAAACAGCTGGATAAGAGCTTGGGATGAATTTAGTACAATTAAATGGGCTAGAAGGGCACGATGGCCTCATCTTGTTTGGAACCATCCGTGTTCAGCCTGCACTGACTATGTCATGTAAGGGTTTGAGTAATCTGCAATATTGCAAATGCTTGTGTTCTTTTCCACGTTCATATGTACAATGTTTAACAACATGCTAATGTACAGGATATTTACATATTTGGAAGATACTTTTTTTTGCTTACATGTGCACCCATTTAAACAGCTGGGTATTGGACTGGAACAATTCCGGTAAATTACGTTTAGTCTCAATCTATGCTCAAATGTTTAACAGCTGTGTCCCACCTGGGATTCAAACCCACAGCCTACCACCCGGAGTACTGCTCCACACTGCTGCCCTGCACAGGTGTAGCAGTGAGTGGGTGGGTAAATGCCTGGGCTGGTGGATCTCCACTGGCTCAACAGAGAGCAGTTGGGCCCATCCCACCCACATAAGAGGGGCAGAGGAATGCTGTAATTATCCGCCAACTGGTATAACAGAGGCTTGACACGCTCTACATATCCCATGAAGCACTGCCTGCTCTTCAGGCTTGGCAGCAAGAAGGTGCACCAATAATCCTCACCATTTTATACAGCGCCACTCATGATCAATTAAGGCACCGTACGATAAGCCAGCGAGACAAAAGAGACAGGTCACTTGTACACGAGTATAACATCCAGACGAAACCCTGAAGACCCAAACTGGTCTTCAGTCAGGAACTCTCCTGACAGACCACACCGAAGCCACTGGGAAAACGCCCGCCATCAATCAGAGAGCCCGTCTCAAGAACTCGGCTTGCGCCTCTGAAACCATGCAACCTTCACACAGCGAAGTGGGCAGAGGCACCCTGTCACACCTGGACAGCCCATCTCAGGGCATCACGGCTTCCCAGTCCCCTCACACCTGGAGCAGCCTGTCACACCTGGACAGCCCATCTCAGGGCATGATCATCAC